ATTCTCAATTCGCTGCCGAACTTCGTTGGCTGAGTATCACAGTTTTAAACGATGAGCGAGAATACGCGCGTTACAACCCGTTGATTTTTAAGAAATAGATCATGATCTAGTTCAAACCCGCGTTCATTTTAAAATTATTAAATTTCTTCTGGCCTACGAGTTTGCTGGGGCGCTTTTTCTGAGCCCCTCGCTTGAACCCAAGTGAACAACTAGTTTTTTAGCTATTTGCCAAATTCTGAAGGAAACCTTTTTTCCTTTCTTTGTACTGAAACGGTAAAAACGCAGGTGTCCTTGAGAACTCGGCAAATAACTGAAAAACTAGAAAAACAAAATTTGTGAATGTGAGTTTTCAATCTAGGCCTGTTTTATAATCTCCAAAAATTTCAAGATGATCGGACACTTGACAGCCAAGCTCCATACCCCAAAAAATGGTCAAAACCAACTGAAAAATACGTTTTGTATATCTTATGGACCGGTACTGTACATGGGCTTAAAGTTGAAAGCTAGAGGTAGCTTTCTATTAGAGTGTTCACAGTGTTTCCAAATGCCGAAACTTCCAGGAACCACAAAGCGACATCTTACAACATTGAATCCCTATTTAGTGATTGCACGGCTAGATATTCAGCAATCAGTGAGATAGATTTTCTACTAATGACAGTAAGAAAGCTACAGTAATCCATAGCACACAATTTATTAACTTCAGGACCCATCTTGCCATTCTGACATGGAAACGGATTTCCGACCAGTTTCCTTCTCATCTGCCACGTGTTGGAGTGATTTGATGAGACTGACTCAAAAGTGTTTTGCACTGAGTAGATGTTGTCCAGCTGCACAAAGATGTGGATCGGAAGTGGAAAGAGACATTATAAATGAGCAATATGAATTGGAAAAAAGTCAGATGAAGTCAAGATTGGAAGAGTGTGCAATTGATATGAATGCGGTTTTGAGAGCTCCGGTTTCTAGGTGTGGCATTTTGAGAGATTCTTTGTAAATCGGGCCTTTGGCGGGGCTTGGGCGGCCCTGTCATAGTTTCTTTTAGAATCAATATAGTCGGGCCAACTAAATTAGATATGATAGAACTTGATGAGTGCTACAGAATGAAAATTTTCTAAAAACTGTATCTGGTTCATGAACAAAGTCACATATGAAACAGGTCGAACAAACAGGCAGGGCCCGGTTCTACCACTTTATGGCTTATAACTTTGCTCATAGACAAGATACCGTTTTCCAAATAGCATTGTTTTGTAGATCTCATGAAGTTCTATCATATTCAATTTAGTTGGCTCAAAATTATTGATTCCGAAAGAAACTATGACAGGGCCCGCGAGGGATCCTTTGAAAACTTTTGTGTTTTCAGAGAAGATGCGATGATTGCCAGAAAAGTCAGTGAGGCGACGAAGGTTATGTTACGATCAGTTGTTCCATTCAGAATATATCCAGATCCACAGGTAGGGAAATTTACGGTTAACATGAGTCTCAATGAGAATTTCAGAAGAAAATGAGGCTGAAAACGGAACGAGGAAAGAAGGCAAGAGAGTTTGCAGCTCCATTGTCAGCGAGACCAAAAGCCATCAGAAAATTGAATAGTGAGACTTTTGAAACTGATCAGTAACGGTCAAAAAGATATAGAAAAACGCATTTTTTGTAAGTTGATTTTTACCGATTGCGACCATTTTCAAGAGTCACAGACATTTTTGAAATTCCTAGTTTTTCAGTTATTTGCCGATTTCTGAAAGACATTCCCTTTTGGTCTGTTTTCTTACTGCAAACGTGAAAAAAGATGTATTTCAGAAATCGGCAAGTAACTGAAAAACTAGAAACTTTGAAAAAATTCTGTGAATGCAAAGTTCTTCATCTAGGTCTGTTTACACCCTCCAAAACCTTCAAAGTTATCTTGAACTTGACAACGGAGCACCAGACTCCTGAAAATGGTTAGAATATCCGAAAATCAACTGAAAATATGTTTTTGTATGACTTATTTTCTGGTACTGTAGTTACTAATTAAAGTAGCCAATTATACAATTTTAGAAAATCGTTATGGAATTTCAAAACCCAAATATTCTTCATCAATCCGTTCTGGAAGAGCTGAACTACTTCATGCACCAATTGATCCTCCAACCACTTCTCTCAGTCCATTTACCGTTCTTCATAACGGTGGAACGGCCTTCCAGACATCTTCCCAACCACCAGCTTTCCCTCCGTTTACCTTCCAGTCCATTGATTTTGACGCAAGATCAAATAATAGAAAGTTACGGAAGAATAAGAAAAGAAGACTTCGCAAAAAGAAACATCATGATTTTGAAAACGGACCACCGTTTGCACAAGCATCCAAAATTACAGAATCAAGGTTTGATGCACAACATGTGGGTCAATCCAAATGTTGTAATTTTCTAAAATACAAATTTTCAGGCAGCACTGAAATTAGACAAACTCAATGGAAACTTGAAACAAAAGGGGGAATATGGAAAATCGGTTCTTCCAAAAATGCTGATGATCAAACAAAAGAAAGGAAGCTTCTTAGGATACGCACAACCACTCATAAAACCTTTGTACCCTACAAAACAAGAACAAGTTGAGCCGAATCATGTGGTCGATCAAATTTATGACGATATTCTTGATGCACAAATTGCTGAAAACGAACTAACCAATTTTGTGGAGGAATCGCCTACAGGACAACCCTTCCTTCCCATTGAACCAGTAAACACTCCAGATATGAGAGAAGCATTCATAAATAATAACGGAGCATGGACGATGGAACCAACAACTGAGCAGACAACAGAGACACCTCCACTATCAAGTACACTACCTCCACCAACAATAACGTTCCCAGATGATTCCTTCCCAGCTGAAACTACTACAACATTCCCAGATGAAACGACTCATCGTCCTCCTTCTTCCAGAATAACTTTTGCTCCAATTCGAAGAATCACTACAACAACAATGGAAACGACTACGGAAGAAGCCACAACTATGGAGACTACAACTACCCCGGAAACAACAACGACTACTACGGAGCCGCCTCCTATTACACCTTCGTCCTCCGGAGATCCTCTGATTGATTATGTGACACACGAACTATTGAATAAGCATATGGAGAGACCAAAGTCAGACGAGGATGAATTTGACTTTTCCAGTGCAGATTACATTGATATCAGTGCCATGGATATTGAGGTATGTAGCTATTCCCATTAAATTCATTCACTGTAATTTTCACAGCCAACCACTTCTACCACCCCTGTCTTCCCGATTCCAATTGCTAGATATGAACAGGCTAACAGTTCGTCTTCCATGTGGCCGATGGATGGTCCACATAACCCACATCGGGCTTCACCTACAGATCACACCACAACTCCACAATTGAGAACTACTGTTGCTCCTCTGAGCCTTGGAATGCTCAGTGAACAGCAGAACGAAGATTTGATCCCATTGCCAACTGCTGCCCACTCTTTCGGTTCAATTGATGTTTGTTTTGTTTTAGAGACTTTTTTGAATTCAGATTTTTAGGTAACTCCATCCCCATCAATCAGCACAACTCCACTGGAAGACCAACTGTGGCCACTGCCAATCAGAAAACTACATAGATTGAAAATGATGGGAGCAAAGATGATGGAAAAGTAAAAAGGGAGGTAATTAGATTCCAAAATATATTTTAATTTAGAACAAAGCCAATTGTCATTTTGCCAATGAGTAAGAAGAGTGCGAAAAAGATGGAAGAGTATAAGAGAAAACTTCAAACTGGATGTCAGCGATATAACAATTGCCTTCGGAAAGAGGTCGAGATGAGATTGAGATGTGCGCAACCATACCCAACTCCTTACGATAAATGCTCTGCTCAGTTGCTGCCCCTCTATAAAGTAAGCAATTTTTGTTGTTCTGGTACAAAAAACCGGAAGTAGAGAAAATCCGGTGGCCATGATCGAAGGTCCCACAACGAAAACTAAAGTAACCTAGAAATATTTATATTTTCAGGATTTTTTCTAGTCCTTCACTGATTTTTGTATCTGCTGTTTTGCCCCAAAATGTCGGAAAATAATATTTTTGTTGATAGTGAAAAAAATTGACTGAAAACGTATTGTCGGAATAAAAA